GATTGTGACGGCGGGTTCTCACTATGGCCGAGTAAAGAGGTAAGTAATGATCTGACAAACTTAAATTCATTTTTTGGAAAAAATTAATTGATGATTTGATGTGAACTTAACAATTTAAAACATTAAATTAAAATTTGGCAAAATATTTTGACAATAACTTAAGTTTTTTCTTTAATTCTGAAACCCGTTTTCAGATGATTTTTATTCTATTAAACTCAGAGAATTGTTCTGAAATATCTATAGTTTACATAAGCATTATGTTAACAAGCTACAGTCTCCTTTTTGGTATAGTTTTAGGCTATCCCATTTTTGCTGACAGACCCTACAAATTTTCCAAGTGCGCCAAAACAGCATAATTTTACAAAAAAAACCTATATCACGATTTGGACTGCTTTTTCAAAAATTTGCCTGTGGCCCAGAAAATGGCACCAAAATAAGGTCTTTATGGTAACTTGGGAGAGCTTGGAAAATCAATTTGGGAATCTTAGATCTGCCCTCTGTTATTTACTAAATTTGTTATTCATGCAAAAGCAGGTGTCTTGTAATCAAGAACTAGACTTTTTTCCAATAAGCAGTTTTTTCTTATAAATTTTTGTTAGAAATTGAGCATGCTTTATTGTTAATTTTTAACACCTTCCAGGCTCTTCCCAAATTGTCTAAGTTAACGCGGTTGCCTTGGCTGGGTTTCGAGTACCAGCCACAATTTTTCCAGTATATATTAAAAGAAAAATGGTTTTCAGAAAAGTCGGATTGTCTGACTTTCGCTTGTTTTCTTCTGTTTTTTCGGCTTTGTCGGCTAGTCTCGGCTAGTTATCGGCTATGAATTTAGATGACATTGTATTTTTTTCCAAGAAATTTGTCAGAATTACGTTTCGTCTGCTTATATTTTGCCGGCTTAGCTGCCACATGTTCAATTTTTTTGTTTGTTTTAAGCATCTTTGGTAGCTGCATCTTTGTCGATTTACTCCTGTAGTTTGTTAATTTACTAGCCCTGAACTAGTATGTTTTCTTTTGTGATTTTTTGCTTACAAATTTTCGTTCGGCCTAAATAGTTTCGACTATTCTTTATCGGATTAGTCAATTTTTTTTGTATAAGCCGTCTTAAGGGCATAAAATTAAGTATTGTCAAAATTAACTCAGGTCGGTTCTTGTTTAAATGTTCCAAATGGTGTTAAAAGTTAATCAAAATTTTCATATCACAACAAATTTTTATGGCCTTTTTGTTTAATATGGCACATTGGGAGTCTACCCAGGTATAGTCGCCTTATTGGCTGCTCTGTCAATGTAAGACCGTGTTTAGTGCTAAAGGATTTGCTTCACTTTCTTCTGAAATTAAATATTCGATTTTTCCAAAAAAAAACTATTCAAAAATTTTTTTCATAACTAGTTCTTTCCGGTTAATTTTCTGTTCGCTAGCTTGCAATGCTACGCTTGAGTGGTATCGCAAGGGATGCAAAGCTCCGATCCACCTTCCTCTTTTTGCTTTTTCTTAAAAAGATTCTTCTTTCTTTTGTTTGTTTTTTTTGCTTGAAATTGTGATCGGGAGTGACTGAGTTGGGTTTATATTTTTCTCATTATTTCGTTTTTACCATTTTAGGTTTCAAGTTTTTAAAGGTCCAATATGGCAAAACAATTAACAAAAACTCAAATTTCATCCCTGTTAGCGATATCTGGTTACTTCGTACTGCCCGCAAGCTCATTTGCTAAAATAATTCATTAAATGTCCAGTAGCCTTCATACTAGCAAAAAATTGATTACTTGATATACACGTATGGTAACTAAATTTTTACTTTCTCAAACTATTTTTAAAACTTTTTAGATGTTTATTTGTTTCCTCTTAACAACACGTTTAACAAAAAAAGATCCAATCTGCACTCAGATATGGCTGCTTGCAAATTACTGCTGGCCTGCATCGCCTAGAATTAGTTGATGCTAGTCCAATAGTAACTTTTTGTTTCTTTCTGAAGAGAGTGGGGAAATGCGGAGAGAGTGGGGAAATAAGGAGAAAAAAATAAATATAAAGCAAACAAAACTGATCGTATCGGGGCGAAGCCCTGAATGTTCCGACTGCCTTTTAAGGTCTATGGAGCAGTAATAACATGGAAAATTTAAATGTAATAATTTAGAATTAAAATTTTTTTTTCTAAAAAGTTTGAGATTTTAGTGAAAACATTACCCCACACGCCATATTAATTAGGAAGTAATAGATTTTGCTTCTATTGATAATTCAATTATGGCATATAATCTTTCTTAAACCAATTGGGAACAATTTCTATGACGGATTAAATTTCGCTCACGCGTTAATAGCGCAAAATATATCGCGCATTAGTTGTCCCAAATTGGCCGAAATGGCAATCTTTAAACCCTTATAACTTCACGAAAAATGATCACAGTTGAAATATTTTTTTCCCATTTAAGCTCAAGACAACAATAGTTTTCGAATGATGAAAAAAAAATTGGTCAAAAATTGCTAGTTAAAAAGTCGAAATTTGTCTGAAGAAAAAAAAACCCACCCGAGCACCAATATTCCGCTACTTCCGTTACGAAAGTCGGCACAACAAAACTGCTCTTATTAGGGCGAAGCCCTGAATGTTCCGACTGCCTTTTAAGGTTTATGGAGCAGTAGTAACATAACAAAATGAAATGTAATAACATAAAATGGAATTTTTTTTCTAAATTTGAAACTTTTTTATGAAATCATCCCCCCACACGCCATATAAAGTTCAAAAGAATAGATTTCGCTCATTGTAACAAACCAATTATGGCAAATAAGCTTCTTTCAACCAATTTGGAACAATTTTTAGGACGGATTAAATCTCCGGTTACGCGTTAATAGCGCGAAATATATCGCGCGTTAATTGTCCCAAATTAGCCAAAATGGCAATCTTTAAACCCCCATAACTTTACGAAAAATGATCACAGGTAAAATATTTTTTCAAATTTAGGCTCAAGACAGCAATACCTTTTGAATGATAAAAAAAAATGCCGTCAAAAATGGCTAGTTAAAAAGTCGAAATTTGTCTGAAGAAAAAAAACCCACCCCGAGCACAAATATTCCGTTACTTTCATATCGAAAGTTGGAACAACAAGACTATGCGCTTATATCAGCAGGGCAAAAAGCAATGAAAATTTTGACTGCCCTTTTTTGTTCTCCAAAGGTTTTTGATAAGGAAAGTTGTGATAAATCATTAATTTTTTGATTATCAGTATCATGTACAACTTGAGAACTTTAGTCATGTCGGCGAGATAGTAGTTCGTGCGAAATAATAGTTCGTGTTGCGATTTTACACCCATATATAGCGTATTTTTATAAGTACTACATGCATTTAATATAGTGCGTACAGAGTGAGTTTGATTCTCGCTCTGCGCTTTTTGTTCCGACTTTCGAAGTCTTATGCTCGGTGTGGTTTTTTTTATTCAGTCAATTTTCGCCAATCGAAATAATAATTTTTGACAAAAATGTTTTATAGCCCATTGATGATGTTGACTTCCTGAGTTCAATTGTAAAAAGAATAATGCCCGCTTTGAAGAATTTGTTCATGTTGCTCAGAGCATAACGGGAATTATTTATGCGTGGCAAATTATACCGCACAACAAAATCAATCCAAATTGAATTGAGGCTAGCTAATCAGATCGCTCGTATTAATTTTGTACGTCTCAACTTTTCACACTTTGATATTGTCCAAAATTTATAGGTTTTCAATTTTTTTCCCCAAAAACTATTCGATATGAATTAAGGGACAGTCGGAACATTCATGGCTTTGCATTGATATACGGGCATACTTGTTTTTTTTTAATTTGTCTAAAAATCTCCCTTGGCGTATATACTTCTTTTTTTGTCCGAAAGTAGGAGCAACAAGACTAGTAAATTTTAAATAAATAAATAAATAAGAAAACTTTTTTCAAAAAACGTTTTTAAATTTATCCTCGCACCTTATATAATCGATATTTTTGTAAGGTAAAATTTGCATCTACTAGCTCATTTTTGGATTAGTTATTTGCTCAAACTCAATTTGTAGTTATTTTGACCGAACTGGTTTTTTTGAAACCCTCATTACTACACGAAAACTAATCACTATTAAATGATTTTTTTGAGCTTTAACTTAAGTTCGGATAGTTTTTTTTTTAAATCTGTCAAAAAACAGTTATTCGAACAGTCGAAATTTTAAAAGTCCCAGCATAAATATTCTGTTAACTTTTTCGAAAGTCAGCACAATAAAAAACTTGCCAAATATCATATTATTCTTGATATTGCACGCGTTTTATTTAAAATCAACGTTATTAAATATACCTAAGTTTATGAGGTTTTTTATAGTCTTCGGAGACATAGGTTTTAACTTTAACCATTGGTTCAGAATGTCACTCTGAGTGATTCAAAAATTCGTGAAAATCCGAAATCGGAATATCTGTTTCTAATTTTTTGGTTAAACAGGTGTTGATTAGATGTTTGAGAATGTTGTGACGTCATCACCAGCCCAACTTGATCGTTAAATTGGTGATGTTTAATTAAATTGCACTAGTTGTGTTGGTGAAATCTATTTCTTCTGGGATGTATGATTTGTCGGTTAATTGTATTTACTGATGATGATTGATTTTGACTTTTATGTCTTTTTCAAATTAGGTCTTGTTCCAAATAGCTTCAAAAACTAGTTTTAAAAAAAAATTACCAGTTTCTTTTGGAACTCCTGTATTGTTTTGCCAATCGGCTCGTAATCCTCCGGGCCGTCTGCACTAATGTTAATATCTGTCTTATAATCGAAGTCAAGATAGATTTCTTGAATTATAAACTGTTAAATCTTTCTCTGCAGTTTTAGCTGAACGTTATTTTTACCTGGGTAGACATTTTATTTCATTTTTTGTTCTTTGATGGCAAGGGCGTGCATTTCGTGGCATCTGATGACGAGATATGTCCAATTAATACGGTGAAAACAAAAGATAGATGAAGTTGTCTATTGATCCGTTTCTGACAAGCTGGGTCACTCTGTGAGCTCCAAAATTGGGGCAAAATCAATGTTCCCTTCATTCATTTTTCCTCCTCGTTATTTTCCTCTTTTTTGCTGTTTCTTTTTAAAATTATGTTCAATCTTGAGTCAAGAGCCCTATTTAGTTTGTACCCTCCCCTGTCGAGAAACACCGCTATTGTTTGATTAATTTCCGCTTATTTCGAGTCTTTTTTTGCTCGTTTAATGGTTGTAAAATACTTTAATTTCAAATTAGAGCCGATAACACCAAGGCTTTTTAAGTTATTGGAGCGCGCGATAAAATTGGTATCCTGCGTTTAATGTGCCCCCTAATTGCACTAAAATACATCCAATTTTCAGCATGTTTTTACAGCCCCTTATCGGAATTTTAATCATTTAATTCCACTTCGCTGAGATCCAATAATCCAACTTTAATTGAAAATTCACTTCATTTTGAACTCATTTGAATCAATTCTACAAAGATTCATGCAAAATGATTTCCTTGCAATGATATCCCACTTCCAATTATTTAAGTTTTTCTTTTTGCTTTTTGTGACCCCTGAGAATGTGGCTGCTATCTATGGGTGAGTTTAAAATAATCATTCTGAACTGAATCAGACTTATAAACAAGTAATTCAGGATTTTTCTCTCAAAATATCCGGCTCAGATCCAAGATATCTTAGTAAAAACCTTCTACGCGAACTCGTGTAATAAACTGTGGTTATATAGCGACATGTTTCATATTCAGTCTAGTTTAATGAGAAAAGTTTTGACGTTTTCGACTTTTTGAGTTAAAAGATGTCCATTTTCACTTTTTTGAGTCAAACGATGACCGTTTTCCGACTGTTCGACTTCATCTGGCGTTGTTTGTTTGTTTTTGTTTGACTTTGTTTTTACCGGATATTGTGCCCCTTTTCGACTTCGCTCGAACTTCTGCGACTTTCCCGACCCTTTTTTGTTTTTGCTTAACTTTGTTTTTACCGGATATTGTTCCACTTTCTTCGAATTTGTTCAACATTACCGGATATTGTTCGACTTTGTTGGAGTTAGCTCGATTTTACCCGGCTTTGTTCGATTTCCCGAGTTGATGTGGTCGAATTTTGCATCGATTGTATGGGTTGACCAAAGTTGGTTTTTGACTCTGGTCGACTTTGGTCAATTTTAATCAACTTTGGTGAACTTTGGTGAGTTTTGATCAACGTTGATCGACTTTGGTTGAGAAGAAAAACTTATTGATAAGGGAAATGTGGATCAAAAAAGGTAACAGATGGATGAATATTTCCTATTTCAAAAACTCTAAGTTGCTACTAAATCATCTTTGATGAAATCTTGGTTAGATTTTATTTTACTATTTAACACCATCTGCTTTTAACAATAATTTTTACAAGTCGAAGATGAAATGAAACAAAGCTGCTCGTATAGGGCCAAGCCCTGAATATTCCGACTTCCTTTTAAGGTTCACGGAGAAGTGCTGCCTTAAAAAAAAATTGATGAAATTATCAAAAAAGGGGAAAGATAATTTTTCCCCCACACGCTATGTTAAGTAGAGGGTGATATGTTTTGCAGGTAGCAAAATGTTACATACACCAAGTAGCATGCGTTAACTCAATTTTGAGAAGATTTCAAAGATTGTTTAATTATACGCTTCAGCGTTCATAACATCAAACATCGCGCGCGGTAATTATCCCAAATTGGCCAAACTAGCAAGTTAAACCCCAATAGTGTTAACAAAAAAAGAACAATTTTTCTGTCGATTAGCTAATATGATAATTACAGCTTAAAATTTTTTTTTGTTTTTGTTTTTTGAATTAAATCTTTCCACAGCTTCGTTTCGCTTCAGTGACAGAATTGGACTTATCATTGCCAAAAAAGCAGTTGGGTTTTAGGAAAACTTCCATAAAACAAGTAATTACGCTTGCAATTAGCAAGCGTTATCAATCAGGAAGTCAGACTTTTTTTGGGTTAACAACTAGATTTAAAAAATCAATTGGATCAGTTATGATGCCAACATGCGCAACTGTTAAAAAATTCAAATTTAACTACTGTGTCGGTACTAGTTACTACAGGCTAATTTCAGGAAGGGTTTGAAAATTTTCGAAGTTTGTACAAAATCAGTTTTTTTTCGGCTCAACTGGAGTCTGCTCTAAGATTGTTGGTCTTGTTTCCACTTCGTAAGTTTTGTTCAGTTTGCTATTTTGAATTTCAAATGTTTTTCTTGACATGTTCGCCTAGATTTTTTTTTTTTGTAAAAACAGGTATTATGAAAGTGTATGGGATCGCGTTTTTATTATAAACTTCTATGAGACGCTTTGTTAAATTTAATCACTTATTGCAAAATATTGAGTGTTTTTCTCAAAAACTCTGCTACAATTTTCAAAAAATGGTATCCATAGAAGGACCGCTTTTATTCTTGTGTGACTGCATACTCCCCTGGTCTTTTTTTATTTTACCTCTTTGTCTACAGCCTTCGCAAAAGTCTGTGAGGGAGTATTTGACCAATTTTTTTGATGTTTTTTTTTCGTTTTCTTGAAGACTAACCTACAAAATTGTTTGACTGACCTTTTGCTTTCAATGAATAGAACGCATTTGAAAATCTTCCCTCTATTTTACGCGCACCGACCTGCTTTTAGCAGAGAAATTGACGGATATCGGAAAAACAAAATTTTGAGCTCTGACCGTTTTTTAGAAACTTTTTGAATTATCTTGTGAGTTACCCTTTCAAACCTGAGATGAAAATTCCAATCGAACAAGTAGTTGCGCAAAGTTTCCTACTCCTGAAGCGGCTACTCTTTAATTTTTGAAGGAAAAATTTTATTTCTATGGAAAAATTCCAACAAATTTCAAAACAACTAAGGTTTTGTGCAAAGTCTAATTTTTTAAATCACCCATTTCATCCAGCCTCAGTATAACAATATCAAAAAATTTATCAAACACTTACTTCCAGCTTTAGCTGGGCCCTGTGTTCTTCATCGAGTAAAACGAAAATTTTGGTTCACCTAGTTTTTCCGTGTTGAATTTCGACTTATGCTTTTGCATTATTGTGTTGTATCACAAGTGGTGCGAAGCTCCGCTTTGCCGATGTGTTTAATTTACAATCTTTTGTGTCACTGGATCTTGTTAACTATCACTCCCCCTTTTGGACCTTGTTAACTATCCCCCATGCATGTATTATCTTTGACAACCATTTCTGTATAAAATATGCATTTCAAAAATGTCAACAATTAAATGGGTGTTCAATTTCGCGCATTCGTATTTGAATTATTCACTATTTATATAATACCCACGTAAATTTTTTTAAATATATTTATTTTCTGAAAATTGTTTTAAGCTATTGAAAATGTGGCCGCCAAAGTTGAATTTCTGAAAATCGAAATAGGGGGGGGGGGGCAAATAAGTTAACAAGATCCGTCTCTAGTTTGAAACTTTTTTCTGTTTAATAAATTTTTTTGCCTTTTCGTTACTTCATTTATTTGAAGTGTAGCTTCACCTGTGTCACACAAACTGTTTCAATGTTCCTCTTTTGAGGCATAAAACCATTGAAATTTCAGTTGATTTTCAATCTTTCGAAATCAGCTGTTTCATATTTTCAATGCTGTATAATCTTGCGAGTAGCGAACAATATCAAATGAGAACATAGAATTTTTTCAGGTTAACTATTGGATCTACTTAACAATCTCCACCCCTTTCAAGAAAGGGGGAGATTGTTAAGTAGGTCAAATTGGTCGATTTTTCAACCAACCAGAATGCAGCAAAATTAGAATTCTCAATAGAAAGCTCAGTGCTAATTTACTGTATTTATTTATAGTAGGTACCATAGGGGGGGGGGGGAGATCGTTAAGTAGATCTTAACAATTTATCAAGCACATTCACTGAATCATTTGTGCGGACTTTCGTCATTTCTGTAAACTTCACGTTTAACTGCCGGTTGCCATTACTGGTAACTAATAGTTTTTAATTACTTATTATCATGACAGCCTATTTTTGATTTTTAACTGCTTTTTTTTTGGAAAAAAATTCCAATTGTTGGTCTGTGTTTGCGTCTTTTTTGTCAGCTCATTTTCCACAAGATAGATTCGTACTCTAGTTTGAACTTTTTAAATTACAATTGAAATAGGTTATGATTTCCTTCCGGTAGCTTGTGAGCTTACCTACTCCACTTCTATATAATTGACATTTTAATAGACTTTAAAGATTTATTCTTTCAAATAGTTTTGGCTGATCTTATTAATAATAATAATCAACTCACATTACGTCATTTGAATAGCGACAAAAGGTACTATGCGTTGTGATTTTCATGGAAATTCTGTAACTTCACATTTGTCTCTAACTCAAACAGTTTCTCCCATTTATTTTCGGCTTGGTTATAATGTTTTAATTTTGCTGGACTGCTAACTAGACTCATAAAATTGTGTTGCAGGGAAGTTTTCTCAAAGTGAGCTTCATTCGCTATAAACGTGGAAAAAATTGATAAATATATTTTTTTCACATTGTTTCAAATATTTTTTCGATTTTGTTAATGTCGTCCTATTTTTTGTTGGCTAGCTTCAGCATGCTATGTTTGCGAGGGGTGCCGGACATCAAGCCGACGGGACTTCAAGCCGAATCGTAAAGTTAGGGAATTAAAGCCAAAGCTTTTTTCAAAAAGTTTTGAATATGATCAGTTTGAAGACTGGTCTGAAGAATTCTCATTTTCAAGATTTTTCTTTACCAGTTTTTGGTTTTTTCATAAAATATAAGCCTCTAATTGATGTTTAGGAAAATTAAAGTTTACGACATTGTTGAAGGCACTTTTTAAGTTTATAATTTATACATTTCAAAATCCGGCTGATGTATATTATGGATGCTTTTGCTAAGGGGTGCATTTGTCATTAAAAATGCTTATTATGGATTAAAATTGCCAAAATTTTTGAAAAAAAAAACCATTTTACAGATGAAAAGTAGTGTTTTGAGGTTTATAAAGATTAAGTTTCGGCCTGAACTCCCTTTGGCTTGCAGTCCCGTTGGCTTGTTGTCCTAGACCCGTTTGTGACGTTTTGAACTGAACAAACTTTATATCTGGAACTTGGTTTGGACAATAATAGATAAAGGACAAAGATACATCTCGCAGAAAAAATAGCATACGAAGCAAAATAGTCAAAACATTTTCTTTTGTAAATACCAGTTGGAAACTGATATTGTTATAATTAATTGAAGTGGAGTTTTATTCCTTAAAATGCCAGGTTGATTTTTTTTTCAGCATTGCAAATCCATCCGACAACAAAACCACTCAGTTTCTGAACAACCTCCTCAATGGTTATGATGGTCGCATCCGTCCTAACTTCAATGGTAATAATCTCTTTGCCCAAAAAATTTAACAATTGGTTCTTTGAAAATTTGGCAAAATAGGTTTTCTATAATGTTTCGGGAGACCTTGGAAAATCAGTTTAATCGACCCAACATAAAGGTCAACAAAGTTTTCGATTTTTCTTAAATCCGCCTACCCCTTGCGAAAGTCCTAGATCCGCTCCTGATTAAACTATGACTAGTAACTAAGTTCCTCTTTTTTTACATTCGGGGGTAATATTCGAATAAATTCTTATTGCAGTATTAAACTTCAGTTTTTTGAAAATTGCTTGATATTGTTTTAATTTCAGTGACCGCTGTCAATGTCACTATGTCGATGCACGTGTTATCATTGGGATCGATAGCAGAAACCACCATGGTAAGTATGCTATAGTTCATTAATTCTAAGACTTCTATCAACTGATGTTAAATATAGTTAGGACAAACAGTCGAAACTTGAAAGATTCGCCTTTGGTCAGTTTGAAAGGTGCAAAATTTGACTTTAAGCGAGCAAAATTTGACTTTTCAAGTTACCTTCCACTCATTTTAAGTGTTCACGCAGTGCTTCAATTTTTTTCAGCCTCTGTTTCCTCCGAAGATTTAAAATCGATTCCCGGATGAAGAATTGATTAAGACTAAATTAAATGAACAAAAAGAGCTTTTAGTTCACAGCATTTGCAGTTCCTGTAATTCACTCCAAAATGGGATGTGATCACTTTGTTTCACGCCGGGTCTATACCTGTTTCATTCTGAATCTCGGTCGGTTTTTACTCTCATCAATCTTTGACCGGTTACAATGAGTTTTGTTAGATTGCTGAAGTAATCAGAAATGTTGAGTGTTCTCAAACTTCAGTACTCGCATGAATGCTTCGTACATTAAAAAATAATCTCTTGAGCTAGAAAGAGAGGTGATTTTTTCATTTTTTCTATTACTGTTGTCGAAAGAGAATGAATTTAATCCTGAAGTCATATCTCGAAACACAAACTCATGAAAAGCTCCATTAATCTGGAAATTTTTTATTTAAAGCTTGTTAAGTTGTAAGTTTTTTTCCAGATTGCTTTCTCATTGCTAGTATTTTCGTGTGAAAGAATGCGGTCATGTTCTAGTCTAATATTATACTAGGCAGAATTCAAAATGGCAGGAAGTTCGAATGTGAGAAAGTTATGTAAGCCATAATCAGAATTCTAGTATTCAAAAATCTGAAAGAAAAGGGGTAAATTTTTTGCCATTCTGTACTTCTGCCATGAGAATAGCCTCATCATACTTGTTTTTAGTGTTTTTATTTTTGATAGCTATGGTATGTATGTATGTATGTATGTCTATATGTGTCTAATACGTAGGACTACAAGGTGACGGTGTTCCTCAGGCAAATGTGGACAGACCCCCGCCTAGCCTACTCTCTCTTCAACACCTCCGAGGTCAGTCTGGATCCCTCGTTCCTCAGGGAACTCTGGGTTCCAGACACCTTCATAGTGAACGAGAAACACGCCAGCTTCCACGAAATCACCAAGGAGAACAAGCTGGTCAAACTCAAGTCCAACGGAGAGATCCTCTACTCCGTCAGGTGGGCATGGTTGTTCATAATATAAACATATTATAAATAAATAATAAACCTGGCAAAAACATAAATTACATATAAATACAACGTTTATTTTTTGTAAATTACTGCAATTTTTTTTGTTTCCGTAGGTACAAAATTATGCAAAGCTGTAGAACAATGAAATTTTCGAAACCATGTTCAAAAAACTAGAAAAAATTATAATCATCTGTTTCAAAGATTACTCCAAAATACAAATTATCCTTTTTGATACAGCCTCTCTTTTATTGGTTTTAGGTTGAGTCTAACACTGAGCTGTCCAATGCAGCTGCAGAGGTTTCCCATGGACCACCAGATATGTGTGCTTCAACTAGAGAGCTGTAAGTGAAGCACCATGTGAACAATTTTCCCATAAAATAACCTATGTCTTAAGACTATTTACCCGCAAGAGAATGGGCCAACATACGAGCTGTTTAATTATCTACGAAGAAGCGCTGTTATGCTCTGGTTCTGATTTACACGCAGTTTTGTTGTATAGTTTTATGGGCTGGGTAGTGTTGCCTCACCCTCAAGCAACGAGCGCGGATCATGATTGACCTCGAACCACCGTCCTTTTGACTGAGAGGCCGATAATTAGACACTTCACTACAGAATGCCCAAAAATAATAGTTAAGTGTTCAAAAATTTGGGGAGGGGCGGTAAAGTGGTTACGTTTCCGCCTCTCAAGCGGAAGCTCGGATGTTCGTGGCCCAACGTGGTCTGTGCCCGTTGCTTCAGGGTGAGGCAGTTTTACCCAGCCCAGCAAACTAACCGAAAAAATTGCATGTAGTTTATAAAAAGGGGCACAACAGCGGTACCTCGTGTTGACCTGAACAGCTCGTATGTTGCTTCTTTCCCTAGTTAATATATCGTCCTGAATGAGCAAGAAAATTAGTCAACATTGGTTTGTTTAAACTAGCTTGAAAAATTGCAAAAATAACCGCATTTTCATTTGCTTCGGTTCAAAACTTGCTAAAATTGAGAGAAATTTTAAAATAAAATCATAAATTTAGTTGACGCTTCCAAAAAAGTGTCCGCAAAATTTTCCCTGTTGTCACTCTAAAGCAAAAAAACTCTTCTAAAGCAAAAACTCTCCTGAGCTGGTCTCTACTTAACATCTAAAAATCAACAAGGAAACTTAACAAGACTGCTCGTATATCAGGGTAGAGCCCTGAATGTTCCGACTGTCCCTTAATTCATATCGAATAGTTTTTGGGAAAAGAAAATATTGAAAACGTATAAATTTTGGAAAAAAATCAAACTGTAATATTTTGAGTGGTACGAAATTAATACGACCAATTAGCTAGCCTCAATTCAATTTGGAGCAATTTTGTTGTACGGGATAATTAGCCTCAATTCAATTTGGAACGATTTTGTTGTACGGGATAATTAGCCTCAATTCAATTTGGAACGATTTTGTTGTACGGGATAATTAGCCTCAATTCAATTTGGAACGATTTTGTTGTACGGAATAATTCACCACGCACGAATAATTCGCGTTATGCTCTCAGCATTATGAATAAACTCTTCAAAGTGCGCATAATTTAGTCCAGAACATGGCCAATTTAGCTATTTTCAAACCCCCAGAACTGTACAAAAAATGATCGGAGGTAAAATATCTTTTAAAATTTGAACTCAGGAAGTCGATATCTTCAACGGGGTATAAAAAAAATTTGCGTAAAACTTTGATTTCGATCGGCAAAAATTGACTGAATAAAAAAACCACATCGAGCATAAATATTCCGTTTTCTTCGTAAGTCGGAACAATAATTCCATGGATGAACTTTGACTAGCTCATATATAATTTAAGTTCCACTTTACATGCTAAAAATGCAAGTGCACTATTTGTTCCGACTTTCGATACGAAAGTAACGGAATATTTGTGCTCGGGGTGGGTTTTTTTTCTTCAGACAAATTTCGACTTTTTAACTAGCCATTTTTGACGAATTTTTTTATATCATTCGAAAGCTAATGTTGTCCTGAGCTTAAATTTGAAAAGATATTTCACCTGTGATCATTTATCGCAAAGTTATGGGGGTTTAAAGGTTGCCATTTTGGCCAATTTGGAACAATTAACGCGCGATTTATTTCGCACTATTAACGCGTAAGCGGAGATTTAATCCGCCTTAGAAATCCTTCCAAGTTGGTTCAAGAAAGCTTATATGCCATAATTGATATAATAATAGGCGCGAAATCTATCTTTTTGTACTTTATATGGCGTGTGGGGGGATGATTTTCATAAAAAAATTTCAAATTTTAGAGAAAAAAATTTCATTTTATTTTATTATGTTTAATTTTTTTTGTTACGAGCAACCTTGTTTTGTTTTTTTTACCAAAGCAGAATTGTGCTGTCAATTTAACAACCTATAAGAAATGCAGAAGCTATTTGCAACTATAGAAACTTCATGAATTTTTTTGATGGCCTAGCTTCAAAATTAAAACTGGATCTAGTGCACATACTGCGAAGTTTTCTAATGCCACTTATCGTCCGCAAAAGAATGTTCAATGAAGTGATTTCTGCGAGACGAAAATATTTATTTTTTTCAATTTACGAGCTGCATAATGAACGAAACTCCAAAATTGGTACACAATATTCCCACTAATAATCATACAAATTATTTTATCGCATAAACAATAAGAAAACATCGGTTAAGTGATCTTCGAATGAAAGCAATAATTGTCAACTGTTATGAGTAAATTTGACTGACCACAGTCAGACTTCTATTAAAAACTTTTGTCAAATTAGACTATAAAGTTTTGTAGCTTTCAAAAAATATCAATAAAATGATGTAGACAGCTGAAACATAAATGAATGATTTTTACCTGTGTATTAGTCAACTGTGTGCAAACGCTTTTTTGTGATAGTTCGATGGTGGTGTATGTTTTTGTTCTTTTTTTGACATACAATAATTTTTTTCGTGTTCAAAAAATTTTAAGAGCGTTGTTCTTATTAGCATATAGCAGTTATTCTTCCACTTAAATAGGAAGTTTATTTAATAGCTTCTAGAGTTAGTTAACCCAAGGAGTTTCTTTCGATGACAAAAAAAACATATTAGCTTCCACTTTTCCTCTCCACTCTCCTCTCAAAAAATGAATTATTTTTTTTGCCAATGAATTTTTTCCCAATTAGAGGAAAGGGCACTTTTTTAATGGTTTTTGATGTTTGAATCACAATTGAAAAGCTCAATTAAAAAACTTTAAAACTTGAACTACTAGTTAATCGAACAAAATTCGAGTTTTTGAAGCGTTGAGCTTAAGCACTTATAGTTTTCACCTGTTATAGTGGTTGCAAACTCCAATTTAGGCTGATTTTGGGCAATTAATACAGAAAAAGTTTTATTCAATAGTAGCATCGCGTATCAACGCGTTTGTTTTGAAACATACAACAAAACTGCTCGTATCAAGGCAAAGCCCTGATTGTTCCGACTGCCTTTTAAGGTTTATGGAGCAGTGATGACCTTTAAACAAATAAATTTAATTAAATAAAATGAAAATTTTTTTTCTAAAATTTGAATTTTTTTTTGAAAATCATCCACCCACACGCCATATTAAGTACAAAAGGATAGATTTCGCTCCTTCCAACAAATCAATTATGGCAAATGAGCTTCTTTCAACCAATTTGGAACGATTTCTAAGACGGATTAAGTCTGCGCTTACGCATTAATAGCGCGAATTATATCGCACAATAATTGTCCCAAATTGGCCAAAATGGCAATCTTTAAACCCCCATAACTTTACAAAAAATGATCACAGGTGAAATATCTTTTCAAATTTGAACTCAAGACAACAATACCTTTTGAATGATATAAAAAATTCCGTCAAAAATGGGTAGTTAAAAAGTCAAAATTTGTCTGAAGAAAAAAAACCCACCCCGAGCACAAATATTCCGTTACTTTCGTATCGAAAGTCGGAACAAAAAGCGACAAAAATTTCTCTGTTCAAGTATTATTCCAAATTTATTGGGGCACCCTAAGTGATCCAAAGAAAGGGCAATTAGATGCAGAGACTATCACCATGCAAGTTGGATTCGTCGTGAAGAGAGCGTTGTTTTTCAATTTTTTTCTTATTTTATTTTTTATTTTAACATTATTTACTTGAGACACCTCAAAAGGCAGCAGTGACAATCAGGGTTTTGCTCTCATATTTCGTATTTACATATTTTGCTATTCTAAAAAAATTTTTCTACTCGGTAGTTGACAGATTTGATCCTTCTTAAATGTTCTAGCAGAATAGTCTCATTTGAAATTTTAATTGACCTTTTACTCAATAACTTCGAAAGATTTAACATTCACAAATCGGCTAGAACGCAATGTCGGTCTGTCGTTTTTTTGAGCCTGTAAATTATTCGCCCGCTAGCGCCAAATCCTTCAAAACTCGCTCACCACCATCTTCTTAACTTTTGATATCCTAATTTTTTGAGCCAACACTGCGGAAGTATTGAAAATTTTGCAATGGATATGACTATTTGTTCTTGGTTCAAAACTATGCAGACTATTCTGACTCAAATTACTGGTAGTTTTTTGGCATATAAATTGGTAAATAAAACAATTTCTGAGCAAGGGATTAGCAAGCGTTATCAAATTGGTATGTAGCTTTTTTCAAGTTAACAAGTTGCCTAACAAAATCAATTGAATCATGTTATAGCTTGGTTTCATGTCAATTTAAAAAAATCATCTTTGGTCTACTTGCTCTAAAGGTTCTGGGAAAGTCCATTTTTTCGCTTCAAATTTAGCCAGGGCCTTTTTCAAAACAGGAAAAATTCAATTTATCAAAAAACTGTCGGCCTTTGTTTTTCTTCTCATCCTTTGTCGACTAAGCTGCCCCAGCACGTTTTTTTTTGTATTTGCATTTTTTAAATCGAAATATTACCTCTCTGAAAATTGGAAATTATCTAGCCCCGTTTCTGTATGTTTTTATTGTTTTCTGTGATTTTTTGCGTCACCTGAAGCCTGTATTTGGTCTGACTGGTTTTGGCCTATGTTGTATCTAATTAGAAACATAATTTTGCGTCGTTAGAACGGGCACATCTTTTTTTACAGACTCCCTACGGAAACAAGCAAGAAAACAGAAACCTCAGAAATTGAGAATTTTATAGCTCGAAGGTTGTCAAGAAAAAAAATTTTTTTTTTTGCTTAAGGGGAGCTTACAACAGTTTGACCGGCTTAGTTGCCGCTCAATAAAAGCTTACTTCACGCTGTCTTTTGTTTTGAAATTGCGTTTTCCTTAAACTGTCCTTCAATCGTGACAATCTTACTAAAGCTTTGAAATTTAGTTTTTTTGCGTTTTTGTTTCTTTTTCCATATGCTAGCTGAGAATGCTAAGTTTGCTTGGTATTGCAAAGAGCTTGAAATTCTGCTTTGCCTCTGTGCGCGGCCATTTCTCAGCTTCAAAGCTTTCGAAATCATATTTTGAAAAGGATGCGCGTAGTTTTTTAATATTCAGACAATATACGGAGTTCTTAAAAAATTAAATAAATAAGTTAGTAACAGCTAATAAACTTTGAGCCAACAGCGCTCCACCATCCGTCATTTTGGAATATGATTTTTTTTATTCCTTAAATATGAAAAAAAAAATTGATTAAATACAAGAAACTAATTTATGAAAACACTATATAAGTGATCGATTAAAATTAAGCAAAACCATTTTTAAAAAAAATTAGAAATCACTATTTTGAAATCATAAAAAAAATAACAGTAATTTCGGCAAAATTTTAAGAGAAAATTTTCGACCCTCAGCTGAAACGCGGCATTGTGGATTAACGTTTCTGGCACTTTCGATACAAGTGACAGAATACAGTGCTGCTTTGAATTAAATGGACTAAAATTTAAAATACTTTAAATAAGAAAAATTTTTGGTTGAAAATTTTTCTAAAATGCACCCTACAAATCCTGATACGACTCCTTGCAATTTTTACCCTCTTCTTTTTTTGTTTAACTTTAATCCAACCTGAGAAAAACTCATTTGAGATTTCAACTTTTAGTCGTTTTGTCCGGATAGTTTAAATCAGCACTAATATATATATATATATATATATATATATATATGCTGGATGCAGATTTTATTCAAAACTAAAGAATACTGAACATTGACTAGTTGAGAGCCAATAGCGCGCCGCTGTTCATAATTTTGAATTGGGCAAATTTGTTCTTCCTAGATATCACACTAAGCAAATTGTTTCCACCGAATTTCCGATGCGTTTTACAAGTTTTGATTTTTTCATAGAAAATATATTAGAACAACCTTTTCCAAAAACTTCTAGAAATCCTTCTTTTCAAGAACGTTGGCAGATTTAGTTCTTTTAAAAATATGATCATTTTGCTAGTGAATTTTCTCCTATTGTCCCTCCTATGGTATAATTTTGCGGCAGCGATTTCTGGCTGATGAACCTTACAAATTTTTGCAAAGGCGCATTTTTTGTCATTACCTTCCACGGCGTTTTTGATTCCTATTTTTTTTTGAAAATTGCCTGTGGCGTAGCAAAGCAAATTTTGCATAAAAAGGGTGTTTATGTATTTAGGAGAGCTCAGAAAACAATTTAGTCGAGCTGGAAAAAAGGCGAACAGGAACAAAATTTTAGTGGCATTTTTTAAAGTAGCAACAAAACATTTTATTTGAAATTTGAACAGTTTTTATACTACTTTTTTCAAAGTATAGCGAACTTATGCAACAATTAACATCGATCAGCCCTAAAAAAATTATATCGCTAACAGCAAAAACTTTCTACCCTCAAGAAAACCTGGCACCGTTGGATTAGACCTCGACCTTTGTCATGACTTTCAACATATTTCAACAATTAAATGAACTGTTTTTTCTTCTTATTTTGTTCGAAAAGCAGTTCAGTTTTTTGTGCTACCTCACTTTAGATGGATTTGCGATAGAAGATGTAACATTCGGTTGGATCAAGCAGGAGAAAAAGAAGCCTCTCTCTATGGATGACTCCATAAATCTGCCACAGTACAAAATCACGAAAACAGAGACGGTAGTTTGCACTCGCAACTACTCCACCGGTAATATCCATGTCATCATCAATCACAGATTGTGAACGAAAAAAAGGATGACAAAAATAGCGAGTGACCTTGCTTTGTCATTTTTGTATGCCTCTCTTCTACTTGATATCTTTGTTTTCCTCGATACCTGTTTGATTTAATTGGTAGCTCGCTGAAATGTAATTCTTTTCTCAAGCCACTGCTCAAGAAGCAATATACTTTTTTATTAAGTTTTGTTGTTTGTTCAAAATGTTCAAAATGTTGAAGAACTAAATCACAGTTTTTTTTTTCAATTTTACTCTTGAGCAGTTGGATGGTGAAAATGAGTGCGCATAATGTTCTAGAATGTTCTAGACTGATCTAGATTTGTTTTAGACGAACATTCCACAATCCACATGCAAATGAGTTGGGCTGCGGTCGATCCGATAGCCATGGGCGGGGAGATATTTTTACCCCGGACTATTTTGCTTCGCACTGACATTGCCTACTGCATTCGGCAGTACTCGACGGGTGCGTCTCGTGTGCAGTAGCAGAAACACTCGCGGTCTTTCCGGTTGTACCCCACTGTCTTATTTTCCCTAATTTGACACCCGGCCTAACCGAATAATAAAAAAATTTCACTGGTCCCTAATTGTTACGAGACTTTTGAAAAAGGTGATTCTAGTTAAAATCAAACTTGACATTCTGAGATGTACAGCCGAAAAGACCCCGGAAAGTTTAGACAAGACGTGCACCATTTACGCACCAAGTTTATAGATTTTGAAAAAGTAAAAAAGATAAAAGTTCCAAGCCACAGTCACTCTTTACCTGAAATCAACTTTCAAGGTCAACAGTCCGATATTATCAAAGATTCGAGTGAACAAACGGAAAAAAAAATATTTTTAGGAAGTTTACAGCCTAAATTCGTTTTCATGTGGGTGTGTTAGTAGTAACTTTAGAGCTCTTCACTGCATGATCAACCAGGAAAACAGTCCCGTAGATGTCCATCGTTCCACTCAGAAAATATAATTATAGAGTAAGAAATTTTTTCCTCATAGAGTTAGAAATGCTCGACAGAAGTCAAACATATTTTAAACTTCTCGTTGTTTGTTTTTTTTCCGATCTTGCTTCATTTATGTTTATACTAATTTTTACGCCATTTTCAGGGGGGAGCGCGCGCCGATAAAACGCGATTTTTTTGGTCGAAATTTTCCAAAAAGTGCATTTTGGCCGTTTTTCAAAAATTTGCAAGCGGCGCAGAAAATTTGGTCGACATAGGGTCTTTATAGTAGTTTGCGAGAGCTCAGAAAATCAATTTGGTTGATCTAAAAAGAAAAAAGGGTCGAGAAAAATTTCAATCTTTGAATATATTTTTGATAAAAAAAGTTTGGGGTTTTGAAAACTGATAATATCGCCAAGTTGGGACCTTTGGCGCGCAATGCATTTCACGCTATGAACAAGTGAGCTACGCAACAACCCGACTAAGAATTAATTCCAAATTCAATCTAGGCTGTATAATTGTTGTATTTATTAGGGTGGCCTATCAATAAGCAGAATGGTCTAAGAGCAGAATGGGTCGAAGAGTAGAAAAACAGAATTATAACAATTTTCGGAAGCTAATCGGTAAATTAAATATAAGAATTGTCAATATTATTAAAGAAACTAGTTTTTAGGCATAATTTGAGTAATTTAATTGAGATTTTTTTTATAAAAAGGAAAAAGTTAATGAAATTTTTCAATTTCTGCACAATTTAATCTTTTTCTTGGTTTTATTAACAATTCTGATACTTGTTTTTTTATCAATTAGCCCGTATAAATCAATAAAAGTTAATATTTTTCATTTTTCTGCTGTTGGAACCGTTCTGCTCTTGGACTATTCTGCTTATTGCTACGCTTCCATCTACTAGGTTGCTATATGCAAAAAAATTATAGCCGAACAAACGTCCATTATTTTAAAAATTGATTTTTACTTGGTTTTGAAACATTTCGAAAATCTGCTACGTGCTTTGAAAATCTCTCGCGCCACTTTGAAAAAGTAGACATTAAAGGGCATTCATTCGTTCAATTCATTCAGTCTTGTGCTTCTTTCCTATTTTCAGCCAGTAGCTCACTCCTAAAAGTTTTAATTACTGGGGGTGCAGCAATTAGCATGTGTACCTATCAGCGTTCGATAATTGCTTTAACTGCATGTGCTGTTAGACGATAAACAATTTTGCCTAAGTTTTCGAATAATTTCGAAAACCAAATGATTTGATAGGGGACTCAAAAATTCACTTTCCTCAATTAAAAAGCGGCTTACTGTACGCTGTACAAAATTGCAAATTTGAGTATTAAAACGTGTATTAGCAAATCTTCGAACTACATTTCTTTTACATAGGTTTATGCTAATCGACACACATGCTAATAGGCCGGTCCCCTAATTTAAGAGAGGCATGACCACTGTATAAAAGCTGTTTATATTTATTGCAAATGAAATCCTTGAATAATCAGTATTGATAGTCAGTTAAAATGCCTGCAGGATAAAGCGTAGCAAATCTCCTTGACAACATGCAGATTGCAGATTCGGTCCTTCTTCTGAACATTTTTTTTTGGAAATTGGTCGGAATAAAAAACCACTGTAATCGTATATATTCCTCGATTTTTTTTTCGAAAATTGGGACAATTCATCAACAATTTAGTCGTTTCTAAAATGTTGTATTTTGAACCAAATTTTTCTAGACAGTTAACTTTTTTTCTATGCTTTTTTTAAAAAGGAATTTTTATTGCGGTTGGTTTTCAAAGTCTTTAAAAAATTGGATCTACTTAACAATCCCCCCCCCCTTATGGTACCTACTTAGCAATCTCCGCCCCTGTAAAAAAATACAGTAAATTAGCACTGAGCTTTCCATTGAGAGTTCTAATTTTGCTGCATTCTGATTGGTGGAAAAATTGGCCATTTTGATCTACTTAACAATCTCCCCCCTTTCTTGAAAGGGGTGGAGATTGTTAAGTAGATCCAAAAAATGATGTATGAGATTGCTTATCTTAAGCATTCACAAACCAATTTGAAAAAGTTGTTTTCTCCGAGATAATTGAAGAAGAATAAACTATCCTTCCATCATGATTCACAATGCTTAAGACTTCAGTTATTGAAACCAGAGTAGGGATATTAACCTTGATAAAATCACAAAACGAGAAAATTTAGAAATCTGCAGTTTTTGGCATGATGCGGAAAGCATGATTATAGTTTAATCACCCATATAAATTAAATTGTACTTAGTTGCACTAGCGCGGCCGTTTTTCTGTCCTGAAATTCACCTCGAAACAAACGTATGAAAAACTTCAATTTTTTGCAAAGACAAATCGAAAAATCAGTTTCGAAAAAAATGAATTCTTGCACAACTGGCAATCCTTGTTCATTTTTGAAGCAGACTTAAACTTAATGGATAAAAATCGTAGAACACTGAATAAAAAACAACTTCCTTCCAATTCTGTCTGAAGTTTTTCCTGTCTTTTAATTTTCTGAAGTCAATTTTGTCATCGAGCGAAGTTTTTCTAAATTTGAACATAACCGGAACAAAAGTGAAAAATAAACTAAAACAAAAACTGGGGGGACGCTGATATTTTTTTTTAAAAATGGGCAAAAATATTTGCAGAAACAAACCCAGCAACGGATTGGATTCGCCAAATAAGTTTACCATATATGGTTATCTGCTATAATTGTTTCAGGGGCCTACCCGTGTTTGGAGGCGCAGTTCTACCTGAGCAGGGAAATGGGCTACTACTTGATCCAGACATACATCCCCAGCATGCTCATCGTCATCCTCTCCTGGGTGTCCTTCTGGATCTCGGCCGACGCCTCCCCCGCCCGAGTCGCTCTCGGGATCACGACAGTACTCACCATGACGACCCAGAGCTCGGGAGCGCTACAGTCACTGCCCAAGGTGAAATTTAAAGTCTCCTCGTTCTTTTCCTCCCCCTCCCCCCCCCCCCCCCATTTTAGTACTTGGTCTATTAAGGTGGAGAATATTCAATTGGTCTATTAAGGGGGGGGGGGGATTCTTCACATGGGTCCAAATTTTACTTAAAGAATATGATGACTCATGTGTGGTTATAATTAAAATTGGCATACAGACTATCTCGGTCTTTCTAAATACAATCGAATTTCATACATAACCTTGTAAAACCGCTTTGGAGTACAAAAAAAAATACATTTTAATATACTGAAACTCGAACCTCGATTGTTGGAATGATACGATGATGAGTAATAGACTCGTTTCGTTTTTCTACGAACAAGTAACATCCATTCGAAACTACGATAAAGTTAGTTGTCGGAACTAGTGGCGTAGTTCTGTGAATCTAGCTACTAGGACGACAGGGAATGTGGGATCGGTTCTCAGAGTGGGGGGCCACTGTTGGTTGGTGGCTTGTGTTGATCTGGTGTCCACACTAAGCTCTATGTCAATATGGTTGTGTAGTGAAAGCGACATGACCAGGTTGTATGATGAGAGGCGAACCGGCCCAGGGTGGAAACACAGCAGGCAAAAGTCTCCGCACGGAGCGGTAGTTGGACAGCACTAGTGAGCGAGCACCTCTCAACAGCCACTCTGAGAACTGGGACTCAGTCCTTCATTTTATATTCGTTTAAAACGATTTTTCTAAATGTTTTTATAAATTTTGAATATTGAATTTAAATTGAATATAGTCTCAATCAATGAAGTTTAAAATTTTTGTAGTTTCTCTTTGCTTATCTTACAAAACTTGGTTCGCATTTGTTTACTTGTCTTTTTGAAATTTTCAATGAAAATTTGGGACTCATCTTTCGGAGTGGACTTTTGGTGTACTTTAGGTGTCTTACGTCAAAGCGATTGATCTCTGGATGGCTGTGTGTCTTCTATTCGTGTTCGCAGCTCTTATCGAATTCGCAGCAGTGAATTACTTTAGCCGAAAGGCCAAGAAGAAGAAACTGAGAAAACTGCAGCTTCAGCAGGAGCAGGGAATCTCCTCAGAACACAATGGCAAGAGTGATAACGTCAAAGGATCCATCGCGATGTCAGGGAGACCGAAATTCGGAATCGCTAGGCTGAGAATCAATAGGAAAAACAAAAACAGAAAGGTTAGCTTTCTGTAAGCATGCAAAATACATCACTTCGGCTGGCTATTTTTTTTGCCCCTACAATTTGATGATTCGGTACAGCTTAAGCTTAAGTTAGTTCATTGAGAAGACTCCAAAATTAATTTTAAAAATGTAAATAAACAATTGTTAGCTCCCAGGCACTCTTTTTTGTAATATATAATCGTTAAAAAGGAACCCATAAAAACTCAATCTTTCTTTTTGAAGATTGTGAATTTGTTAATTATATTTGCAGTATCATACAGTGGATATAGTAAATGAGCCACCACGGAAGACTTGCAACCACTTCAAATACGTGTACGAGTCCAAACCCGACCCTGAGTTCAGACCCGACTACAACCATCTGCCAATCATAGTCGGATCCACAGCCATCAAGTGTCTAGACTCCGACTCCGACTTCCAAGATGACGTCACCAATCATTCTAGAAATTTCTCAGTTGGACCAAATGACATGAGAAGTGACATAGTAGGAGGTTGTCGCAGAGGCAGACACCAGCAGGTGCCTGGAAGCAATCAGCCGCCAATCCAGCAAGTAGAGGACACAGTGCCGATTGACTCAGTTTGCCGAATTGCATTCCCAGTGACTTTTCTCATCTTCAATTGTTTCTACTGGGGATACTTCGTCCCAATAGGCGGCGGGGGCGAAGAGCAAGGCGCAATGGATTCTTAGACAAAAAACACTCGCTGAAATTGAAACTATGTAAAAAAAATTTATGAGGCTTCGTGCAAACGAATTCACACTTCACCTTTTTAAAATGAGTTATTTATGAAGTTTAGCTAAAACTCACCTCTTGTAAGAATCTAAAAGCACCTCAAAATCTTCTGAAATTAGTGTAAATGGTTTTGATTGGATGTAATTGCTATACACTGAAATCAACAGCTGGCTGAATGATTTCACGGTAACTTATTGCGACTTTTTGTAAAGTTTTTCACGTAGGTTCAACACAAAATAATTCTCACTTAGTAATAAATAATGAAAAATGTGGTCAATTGAATTTACTGATATATTTGAAGTTGTACTTCTACGAGTTAAGCCATTATTACGGATAAGTTGTTCGATCTTTCTTTCTCGAAATCTAATACGGAAACAGACTGGTCCGAGCATTGGTCGCTCTTAAGAAAAATGTTCTTTTCTTAGAGTAAGTTTGACGCGTGAAAAAACAAAACGGGCTGGGACGGCGAGGAGGTGGTTAGTTCGGGAAAGGGTGCATTTTGGCCTGTTTTTTTTGAACATCGAGAACACTTTTGAAAACTCGAGAACACTATCGGATTATATTCGCAATAAAAAAGGATTATAATTGATTTAGTTTTTCGTAAGTAATGGGTTTATAATCGATTGCCTGGTCCCGAAATGAAATTTTAATCATTTATAATGGCCGCATTTTAAAAAGATGAGGCCAAGTCAAACTTATTTGATTTCCCTAGTGTCTTTTTTAACACTTAATTAGGGTCTATAAAGGCGTTTTGGAACCAAATGTGCGTTTAAAAATTTTTAAACATGTAAACATGTAAACCGTGGTAACCAAGGGAGCCCACAAACAGGCTAAGGGAAAGTTTGGCTCCCAATAATTTTTATAGTTTACCTATAAAAGGAATTCTGATTGAACATTCGGTTTTGTTTTTCCCCAAAAAGGATGCTGAAAATAGTTTTTGAAGTTTTTTTCAAGAGCATACGCGCCGAGTAAACGAACCAAAAGACATCAATGTTGATATTGTAACAAAAGATGACTCACCTGATAACTTTTTGGAAAAAGATCATTATCTAGTAAGAATGTTATGAGTAGAACTATTGGTGTTGCAAGGTTTTCTCAATATATTTACCGTTAATGCTAAAAACTACCGTAAAAATTTAATTTTTGCGACACCTGTGGAACCACAATTTCCATGTTACACATTTTTTAAAGGCGCAAATAGAACGCTTCATTGCTCTAATTTTTTTAACCTGATGGTGCTGAACAAAACGTTTGTGTTTGTATAGTGTGTTTTTTTTTGCTTCAAAATAGGCTTCGAGGTTTCATTCTTCTTTTAAAAAAAGAAAAAAATGCAGCGCACGCTACTGGAAAATCAACACTAGGCTATTTTGAACTCAATTTTACTGGCTATCCTGTAATAATTACGGTATATAAGCGATGAGTTTGTTGCAGGCACCAGCTGATTTAGGTGAGGGGGGAAGGGGGGCTGATTAGGGTCCCTCCTTTGTACTATTTTGAGATATGTGTGTGTGTGTGTGTGTATATATACATATATACATATATATATATATATATATATATATATATATATATATATATATATATATATATAGTGATAACAGAGCTGGTACTTTTAAAGGCGAATATAGAAATCTTCGTTGCTCAATTTTTTTTACTTGTTCATGCTAAACAAAAAAAATTTGTGTTCGTATGGGGTGTAAGTTTTGCTTGTTTCAAAATGGGATTAGAGGTTTTCAATTGTTTTTTGAAAAAAGAGAAAAAATGCAGTGGACGCTTCTGGAAAAAAAATTATTGATTAAACCAGAAACTGACTAATTTTTTTTCCAGAAGCGTCCACTGCATTTTTTCTCTTTTTTCAAAAAACAATTGAAAACCTCTAATTTCATTTTGAAACAAGCAAAACTTACACCCCATACGAACACAAATTTTTTTTGTTTTGGTTTGATCAATAGAGGCATTAATTGTGAGAGCACATTTTTGTTAAGATTGAAATTAGTCATTTTCAAGTAGAAAACTAAGACAAAAGTCTTCTATCTGAAAAACTTTTGCAGAACTATACCTCACCCATTTTTTTAAAAAGAGCTTTTCGATTCTTACATTTACAAAGCGCAAAAATCTTCGTTGCGTTAAAATAACAACTAATCTTAGAAAAACATCAAAATATTTTTTAAGCGTCGATTTAAAACTCTTACCTGATACTATGAAAATCTGTGTTTTTTAGTGTCCAAACTATTATTTTATTTTCTATAACTCAGTGTTGTTTGACAGCTTTTGCGATCTTTTTTTGTTGGTTTATACTGTTAATTTGTTTAAATTGCCTGATAACTTATCTTCTTCCGTTTTCTATAGCTTTTGGCTCTTATCTCCTCATTTTTGTAAGGAAACGCCGTTATCTCTCCCAATTCACTTTTTTTTTGAGCTTCGCCGGCTGTTATTTCATAATCTTCATCTATCCTTTGCTTTATCTTCCAAAAGTTTGCGTTCGGGTTTATTGCTATCGCCTTCTTTTTAAACTTTTCTATCGGCGTCACTGATCCCTCCTTGGTTGTCGAATTAGTCAGCTCGATGCAAGAGGGAAATTTCTACCTGCCATAGTCCTTTTTTGGAATAATTTAGGCTTGCAAAAATCTTTTCATACTCTTTTTGTTTTCAATTTCAAGTTTCGGTTTCAGGACTGGAAAGAGCCCTGGGAGACTATCATCAATTTAGAGCATAGTAGTTTTTCCCTACTAATGATTTCAAATGTCTCTTCTTTCAAAGAAGTAGTTTCCGTTTTTTTTGAGGAGCAAGATCAGAGTTTGCACAACTCCAAAGTTTAGAAGCTGAAAAAAATCGAATTGAAAAAAAAATTGGGCATTGTGTTCTTGGGGTCGTAAAAGTGTAGTGACGTCACAATTTCCTTGTTACACTTTTTTTAAAGGCGCAAATAGAACGCTTCATTGCTCTAATTTTTTTAACCTGATTGTGCTGAACAAAACGTTTGTGTTTGTATAGTGTGTTTTTTTCTTGCTTCAAAATAGGCTTCGAGGTTTCATTCTTCTTTTAAAAAAAGAAAAAAATGCAGCGCACGCTACTGGAAAATCAACACTAGGCTATTTTGAACTCAATTTTACTGGCTATCCTGTGATAATTACGGTAGATAAGCGATGAGTTTGTTGCAGGCACCAGCTGATTTAGGTGAGGGGGGAAGGGGGGCTGATTAGGGTCCCTCCTTTGTACTATTTTGAGATATGTGTGTGTGTGTGTGTATATATACATATATACATATATATATATATATATATATATATATATATATATATATATATATATATATATATATATATAGTGATAACAGAGCTGGTACTTTTAAAGGCGAATATAGAAATCTTCGTTGCTCAATTTTTTTTACTTGTTCATGCTAAACAAAAAAATTTGTGTTTTGAGCTTCGCCGGCTGTTATTTCATAATCTTCATCTATCCTTTGCTTTATCTTCCAAAAGTTTGCGTTCGGGTTTATTGCTATCGCCTTCTTTTTAAACTTTTCTATCGGCGTCACTGATCCCTCCTTGATTGTCGAATTAGTCAGCTCGATGCAAGAGGGAAATTTCTACCTGCCATAGTCCTTTTTTGGAATAATCTAGGCTTGCAAAAATCTTTTCATACTCTTTTTGTTTTCAATTTCAAGTTTCGGTTTCAGGACTGGAAAGAGCCCTGGGAGACTATCATCAATTTAGAGCATAGTAGTTTTTCCCTACTAATGATTTCAAATGTCTCTTCTTTCAAAGAAGTAGTTTCCGTTTTTTTTGAGGAGCAAGATCAGAGTTTGCACAACTCCAAAGTTTAGAAGCTGAAAAAAATCGAATTGAAAAAAAAATTGGGCATTGTGTTCTTGGGATCGTAAAAGTGTAGTGACGTTCCTGCTTTATCTCTGCTAATCAAACAGAAAAAAAAATTATAGGCAGCCTGCAAAATTGATAAACAATATTCCGTTTTGTTTTATATAAAAATTATTACGTCTTGTTAGCGGTCGCCACTCTTTTAAAATACTGAGCATGATAATTTGAGGAAAAAAGGACTAGTAATTAAAATAGAGTCATTTTTAAACAAAGATTTACAGCCTTAAAAAAAACAAATCAGTCATTTTCTTGTTTAATGAATACAGGCATTATTACCACACTTTAAAAAACAATTAAGTCCTTTTTTGGCAAACAGTTAGTCTTGCTTTTTTAGGTAAACAGTTAAGTAATAATGTTTTTATCCTCGTCGTGTTTGCAAAACTACCGTATACAAAAATAAATAAATATACATACATATTCATATTAGGGGCGGACATAAAAATTTCTCGAGAGGCGGATTGGAATCCCACAATTTCCAAAATGACGAGGAACTTCAGGTGGTATTCATGTGCGTTTTAGTTTTTTAATTCAATATTTTTTGTTTTGCACGCAGAATCAGGTACCACAAAAAAAATTGTTGGAATGGGTCGAGTGATATACCAAATTGAAACCCTCTCAGACATGATTCTAACAAGAATAAAAAATTTTCCACCAAACTTGCATATTTTTTTCTTTCAATTTCGAGCAAATGAAGTTAACTATTTTTTAATGTATAATTTAAGCCCTTAAAACTTAATTTTACGCATGTTAAACTGATTTTTGCAGTTTTTAGTGCCATTTTTGGAATCAAAAACTTCAAAATACTTTTCCGCAATTAATTAATAGAAAATACTTTCGGCCACTCCTTTTTTGGTTTTCTTTTTGTTTTTTTTTCTGGTCATTTTTTTTTCAAAAACTGCGACTGATCTTTGCTCCATTACTATGCCTAACAAATATGCCTGAAAATTATTTCGTCATATGCGTTTCACACACCACGCAGGAAAAACTACACTAATTTGTATTTGTTTGAAGATGTTCGGAAAATTCTGTGCTATTTGCACAGTAAGCGGCTATCCTAGCTATATTATTTTTAAAATAAAATAGTTTTCGGTCAATTGAAAATAAACTCGACCGAGTTAAAATTATTAGCCTTTAAAGATGTTTTTTGAACGTGGATCTGTAACGCATTTGACAAAATTGTTCAGGTTGGCGTGTTTTGACCATATAAATAAAATATTACATTTTTTTCTACTGAAATCATAACCAAAAAATTATCAATGATTTTATAATTTGCGCAATTTTTTCTATACGTATGTTTGGAAAACAATTGATGTTTTTTGATCGAAAAAAAAAATGTCGCTGCAAAAATGCAGCTGTTGATCTGTGGAAGTAGATTCGCATCAACGCGTTTTACTACCCTAATACACGTGCACATTGGGGAAAAACGTTCGTTCCAACCATACTGATAGAAATGGATTAGTTTGGTAAAAACATCCAGATTTGTAGTAAAATCAAACATCAAAACCCTTAATGGCAAACGCCTAATTCATGTCGCAAATTAATCATTATCTGATGTCAAATCTGCATCAGTAATGTAATAACTAAAAAAAAAAAAATTTAATTTAGTTCAGTTATTATACTTTGTTCATATTCAGTTTCGTAAAATTTTTAAAAAAAATAGAAAAATCAACAGGAAAATGAGCGGCACTGAGGACCGTCCTTTTGTCATTCTGTGGGTATCTTTTTCACTTCTGTTTTGCTTTTTATCTCTTGTCTCCTATTTTGAGCCGACTTGGATCGCAACTAGAGCTGTTCACGCCGACGACAACCGACCAATCACAGTCGATAGAGTGGCCACCTTTGGAGTCAATAAGGCAAGTTAACGCCGTTTTTTTTTTTAAAAAAACTCATTTTGATTGCTGTTTATCAATTAGTATATTCATTTGACGCATTGGTACTTTGTAACTCTTACATCCTTATACATGTACGTGCTTGTTTCGACTTTCAAATGAAGTGAACAACATGATGATTGCTCAGGGTTCCCTCAGACGATCGAAATAATAATTTGTGCTGAATTTTTATACCATAAAAAGATCTCGAAGTCTTGTCTTACCCTTATAAAGAATTATTCGCCTGCGGAAATTATTTAGTATAACTATCCAGGTAGTCGCGTCGCTCAAAACGTTGAAAGAAAACGGAAAGTGTCAAAAAAAAACTTGATTGAGATCATAAAATAGATGTCAAATTGTTGTTTTGTCCTCGGATCGACGTCACAGACTAGATCAATTCGGATCCAGTATTATTGCAGCAGTTTTTAGTGTTTCAAAACTGTAAACAGATTAACTTAGGCTGTCTATTTTCGTATATTCAAGCAAAGAAAGAATTGTAGTAATAAATCATCGGCAAATCAGAGATTTTTCATCAATTGTTCAGCATTATAAAAGAGAATTAACTTTGTGAAAGATCTAAGCTTCCAAGAAACTTAGTTTACCTTACATAATATTGTGATTCTTTAATACCTCCAATGTAACATAAATTGAGAAGTTAACAAGACTGCATTGCGCGTATATCAGAGTAAAGCACTGAACGTTCCGACTGTCCCTTAATTGGTAAAAAATCGTTCTTGGCAAAATAAAAGTTAAAAACCTTAAATATTGGACAGAATCAATATCAAGCAAAAAACATTGGGCAAAACGACTCATTTCGAAACGTTTTTGAAGGTATTTTGCCGCGCATATAAAATTACAGTACTTGCTCAATAATATGAACAAAAGTTTTATAGCATGCATGAATTAGTCCATAGCATGGCCAATTTGGCTATTGTCAAAGTTTTAGAAGTTATAAAAAAAAATACAAATTTGAACTCTGGGAGTCGATATTTTCAATGAGCTATAAATTTAATTCTAAACAATTTTGTTTTGTTGGCTCAAAGTTGACTAAATAGAACCAGACTGACCAAAAATTTTCTTTTAACTTTTTTTTTGAAATTGGGAACAAAAACCAGTGGGGCAGAGATAACTAGTAAAATTTTATCGCAAGACTTCACATTTTCTTGTAAACTGAGCGATATTTTTTCACATCCACAGCTTTTTTTATTGATCATTCAGTATCATTACATTTTTGCGCTATTTGTTCCGACCATTTGAAAAATTTGGAGTAAACTTGTATTCGCGCGTGTTTTAGTTTTTTCTTTTTTTTTGTTTTTCACGCCAAACAATCACAGGAATGGTCGATTGATATACGAATTTCAAGCTTTTTCAGCCGAGTTTTGAGCGAATTTTTTTGAACCAAAATGTTTGAAAAAAATTCGAAACATTCTCCGAAAACATTTTTAAAAAGATTGATTTTTTTTTGTTTTGTTTTTTTTTATTCGTTTTTCTACAACATTTTTTGTCCGTTTTGCTTATAATATTATGAATGTCGAATAAACATTCTACTTTTTACTTTTTTGTTGGATCTTTTTATCACACCACGCAGAAAACAAAAACTACCTTAATTTGAAAGAAAAATGTAGTTTTTAAAGACTATGGTTGGAACGCTCTGGGCAATTTGCACAGTAACCGGCTATCTTTGTCTTCTGAATTATGTTTGTCATCAAAATTGCAGTACCAAATCTAAAAGAACTGAGCAGAATCTAAAACTGTACAGCAGCTTCACCTAAAAGTGAACAAAAACTTTTTATTTTCACTGCAAAAGCAATTCTTTTGTCTATGAAGCAAGAATAAGAAATTTTTCATTAGGTAATTTCAAGTAAATTACGAAGCACTTTTTCATGGAAGTTAATATGCATGTTTTCTGCTGTTTTTGTATCAAACTATAAAATACATACCTATTTAAAAAGGGTCAAATTTACGATCCTCTTCTCACTAATTCCACCCACTGCCTACCTAAAAAGTTTTACTCCGGTGCTAATTTGTAACAAAGACTCGAAAAGTTTTCTTCGAGGCAAAAAAATATCTGATTAATTTTTCGCAAAAATTGAAAGCAAGTGAAAGCATGGAATATATTTGACAACTTGGCCATCAACTTGACAACTGAGTGCCACAAAAAAAACGTCTAGAGGATCCCAGAAAAATAGAATATTTCAAAGCTAATTTAAGCTTCAAAAATATAAGTGTTTTTCCAAAGTCATCATAAAGTCTGGATTGCTTTTAAAAAATTAAATTGAAAAATAACATGAAAAAATTTTAAAATTTTGCCTACCGATCGGGAAAAAAAAATCTTTTTTTTCTTCGCTGTATTGGCATATGTTTGAAATGCAAATAAACAAATTAAACAACTAAAAACGCTAACAAAGAAAAAAACTTCTAGTGATTCTAGGTTTCTACGTCTCTTTCTTTTGTCTTTGTGCGCTAATCTCCACAAAACAAAGTTAAAATCAATATTTTATTCGTATTTCTCGGTAAATACTCGTGTTTGGTCATAAATCGGAATATATCCACAATTTTTTGTATAAACGGACATAATCAGTCATAAACGACTATAACTCAAACTTTTTACTTACATCATCGTATATCGGACGCAACGGCAGCTTGACTTTTTCCGAAACTGCTTGACTTTTGAAGCAGTTAAAAACCAGCTTGACTTTTGCAGAAACTGCAAAAGTGCAAAAAAAAACTGCTCTTTTGTAGGTCGTAGTTTTAAATTTGAACGATTTATGTTTCAAGCATTAGTTACGTTTTGCGCTGCAACATCCTCCGCCCCTAAAGACGGAAGAACAGGTGCGAGTTTTACGGTCGGTCGTATCAGCTCGCTCGTAACAGTTTTGATATCGGCGGATCGGGCGCATCCGTCTTTGCCGTAGTGTAGTTTAGCAATACGGGCGAGTGGGTAATGCCCACGTGGGCTGTCGGGTTCGACTACCCAAACCAAGTCGCCGGTTTTCACTGTGACATCCGAATCATTATGCCACTTTGCTCTCTTGTTGAGAGATGGTACATATTCACGCAGCCATTGTGACCAAACTGCGTTAGCGTACGATTGTGCTCTGGCGTAACGCTTTTTATAATCAAAGTTATCTTCGAAACTTAACGACGGGAAGCTAGCTGCGCTGTGACCGAGAATGAAGTGATTCGGGGTGAGTGCCTCTAGGTCGTGCGGATCGGAACTGACCGGAGTGATCGGTCTTGCGTTAAGTAATTGTTCAACTAGGCAGAGCGTTGTTCCTAGAACTTCCTCAGTTAATCTCCTGTTGCCTAATATGTCGTACAACACTCGCTTTACACTTCTCACTAGCCGCTCCCAGGCGCCACCGTGATGAGGGGCACTGGGCGGGTTAAACTTCCACTTAATGCCTTTATGGACGAAAACTGCCGGGGCGACTTTGTTCCAATTTTGGACACAGGATAGGAGCTCCTTTTGAGCACCAACAAAATTCGTGCCATTGTCAGAAAGAATGGTTTTGGGGCTACATCGCCTTGCAATAAATCGCTCTACGCCCATGACGCAGGAACTAGTATCGAGAGATGGAACCAACTCGATGTGAACTGCTCGAGTCGTGAGGCAGGTAAATAGGAAACCCCATCTCTTTTCGGTACTTCGGCGTATTGGCACTTGAAACGGGCCAAAGTAATCAACACCTGTGTTGGAGAAGGGAGGCTGCTTGTAACCCAGTCTTTCAATCGGTAGGTCAGACATAATGGGCACAACTGTTTTTGCTTTGCGCTTACGGCATGTTATGCAAGTATTTTCGATGTTCCCAAGTAACCAGCGCAACTTCAGAACAATGTATTTCAACTGAACTACAGCACGCATGTAATCCAACCCCTGATGGGCATGTTGAAAGTGCATATGCCTAATCAACATATGAGCAACTCGGTGTCGACCATCCAGTATTATTGGATGTTTGCTATCAAAGTCGGTATCAACAAGACTGCTGATACGTCCAGTTGAACGCAGGATGCCAGCTGGGCCGATGAACGGAGAATATTTAGCAATCCGACTTTTCTTTGTTATCAGTTTATCGGACTGAAGTATTTTCACTTCGGCAGGAAATGATTCGGACTGAGCGAGATAAATGAGCTTCTGCTCGGCAATATCTAACTCGGACGGGTCGGTTATTTCAAGCGTTTTTGTACGGAAGTGTTTATGCGATGGTAGCACACGAAGCATAAACGCTAAAACACGTTTGTACTTTACAATTGAGCTGAATTTATCCCAATTTTTAAACAGACGGATCGACGGCGCTTTCTCAGATGAAGCATCAACAACAAACGTAGATGCAGTCTCCAGGCATGTATCAATGTCACAGAGTGGGCCTTTTAATTGGATCTTTTTGATGACATCAGTGATCGGCTTGAATGGCCAATCACATGCCCTCAATATACTAGGGCCTCTAACCCAGCTGCTATCCTTGAGGGCTTCCGAAGAAATCCCTCGTGTGCCGGTATCAGCTGGGTTATCACCACTGAGTACATGATTCCATTGATCAATGGTGGTGGAATCCAAGATTTCACCAGTGCGGTTTCCAACAAACACAGGAAGTTTGTTGCACGAGTTAAGCCACTGGAGAACGGTGGTAGAATCAGTCCACATGAATACATTGCTTACTTTGAAAGTAAGCGCTTTCAAAATCTCTTCTTTGAGTCGAGTCGCAAGCAGAGCAGCCTGAAGCTCTAACTTGGGAATGGAGAGCATCTTCATAGGCGCTACATGGGCTTTCCCAAATACAAAAGCTAACTCGGTCTTTTGCGATTTAGCAAGTCGGGCTCGGAGAAACGATACGGCGCAAAAAACGTCCTGCGAACTATCACCGAACGTGTGAAGTTCACAGCGGTCGAACGGTTCGGTAAAGTAGCTACGAGTTATCGTCAGAGTACCTAATAGTGGAAGTCCTGAGTGCCAATCTAGAAATTGTTGTTTAATTTCCTCTGAT